AATGGCAGACCACCTTCGATGTCTGCACTGTGTAGGCCTCCGCAGGGCGTAGGCCTCCCCAGCCCAGGGCCTTCGCACTTGCCATTCCCTCGGCCTGGGATGCCCCTCCTCCTGCTCCTCTCCTCCTCCTCTGTCGTTCATCCTCCGCAGAGTGTGCCCTTTTCAGACACCTTCCAAGACCCTCCTGTCCCTGCCACCTCACTTTGGCTACGGGTCCTGTCATTGTAGAAGGACTCCCATCTGCTTGGCTTGCCCCAGCCAATAGCCCAGAGAGGCCCGTCCCTGTAGACACTCTGGGCAAACCCATCCCCTTGTCTTGGGCAGCGAGCAGCCCTGTGCCTCGAGTTCCTGGGTCCCTTCATGACCCTGTGAGAATGGACTGACTCTCCGGACCTGCCTGGCTGCCACTGGGCAGAGCCTCCTCTGCCTCACCTGTCTTCCCTGGTAGCCCTGGCCAGCTCCACTGCACAGACCTCTGGCCTGCCTGCGAGGCCTCGTGGGCAGCTGGGCAGCTCAATCAGACAGGGGCTCTTACTCCAGCTAGAATACCCTTTTCCCAAATCTTTGTCTATCCAAATCTGGCTTGCCCTTCAATTTCATAGGTCACCACCTCTGGGAAGCCTTCTATGATTGTCTCCAGTCAAAAGTAGCATCCCTTCCTCTGAAGGCAGTGGCTGAGAGCCTGGGGCTCAGTTTCTCCCTATAGACTAAGGGAAATGACCCGGGTAAAGCTCCAGCACCATCCTGGCACTCAGTAGGCACTCAGTAAACAGCCACTGTTCATCACAATGTTGTGGTCCCCGCCCCCCTCCACCCAGGCAGGTCCACAGCCTCCTCAAGCTCTGGCACACAGTAGGCACGCATCTACTGAACGCTCACCCGGGTGACCAGTAGGTGGCCCCACACCCCAATTAACCTGCCCTGACCAGCTGCTCAGAGCCCCAGGAAACCTGTTCCCTTGAGTGACGGGCCGCCTTCTCCTGGTCAGGGGAAGCAGAGAGGGCAGAACTGGCAGAGTCCCTGCAGCTTGGCTTGTCACCTAGCAGACGCTTGGGCTGCATTGGTGAGCAAGGCCTTTGGACTTGGCTGCCCCTTTCCCCTTCCCCACCGCAGTCCTGCCCACCCTTATGAAGTTTGCTCCCATTTAAGAGACAAGAAAATTGAGGCTCATCAACGCATTTGATATGCCTGAGACCACAGAGCACTCCGACAATCTGTCAACTACCTGGCCCCGATTCATCAAGGTCTCGTTTTACTGGTGGGAAACCCCCCAAAAAGTGGAATAGCCTTGCCCAAGATCTCATGCAAACCAAAGTTCAGATCTCTCGGCTCTAACCAAAATAACCCCACACACACAGTGGGCAGTGGGCTCCCCAGACCCTTCCCTGCCTGCTGGCCACAGGGGGAAGGAGTTTACCCTGCTGGGCTTGGGGGCAGCTGTGGGGATGCCCTAGGGATGCAAAGGCAGCCAGAGCCAGAGCCGGCTACCCGGGGCCGGTGCCCCTTCCCCATCCCTGCCACAGAGAGAGCTGCAAGCAGGACTGGAAACCGAGACCCTGCAGGGGCTGCGGCAGGCTGCATTTTGAGGCTCAATTGTGACACTACAGGAAGGACTGAAACGAGGGTGGAGAGGGGCTGGTGTGGAATAGCAATGAGCCCGGCCCCTGGAAGCCAGCCAGCACCAGGTTTGCAAGACAGAGAACTCTGCTATCGGCTGGGTCGATGGAGCCGGGGGGAACGCTCAAAAGAAACATCGCGCACACACAAGCACTCACACGTGCACATGTATGGATATACCTCTCAGTGGTTCTTTATTGAAAGCTCCCAGGGAAGTCACATGGAGCCCACACAAATGCCTATGTCTGAACAGGCTGACGGGAGCATGTGGCCACTAAGCTTCTTAGCTCACCTGATACCAGCTGACTATCAAGGATTTATATCCACTTCACAGACAGCAATACTGAGGTCCAAAGAGGGTGATGGCCAGACCTCCAGTCCCCAAGCCTTGGTCTGGGACTGCTGTCCCAGATCATGAGGAGCCTGATGCCGAGACCTGAGGTCCAGGCCCTGGGCGGAGCTGGCCGCTAGCCCAGGCTCCTCATGAGCTCTTGGAAGCAACCCAGCAGACCGGAGACCTGGGGACAATCCTTCCATCCTCTCCTCTGCTAATTGCCTCTGTTGCACGCCACCCCCCGCCCCCCACCCTCGCCGCCCCACCACAGCGATGGGCCAAGCATGGCCAGTACAAATCTGTCCCTAGGACTGGCAGGCAGATGGACACCTGAGCAGACGCTGAGATGGCTGAAACCACGGTCTTGCGTGTGAAGGCCTTGCAGGCAGAAGATCAAGGCCAGCCCCGGGTAGAAGCTCGGATAGGCAGAGCTGAGGGCCGCCATAGTCCCTGCCGTTCGGCATAATCCTGTAACCTATCAGGCGCCCATCCCAGCCACTGGGGTGCATCAATTCTCTGGTTTAAACTAGCCCATGACACCTCCTCAAACCACGTCCTTTCTTCACAGAGAGTCTCAAGCCTGAGCTTCGACAGGTATTTGTGTGATACTGTGTTCTTCTCTCTCTTGAGCGTGGGCTCCCTGAAGTGAGACCCTGTCCATGGCTCTCACGCTGCCTCCCTTGCACCCAGCACCATGTCTCGGGCACAGTGGGTATCAGTAGCTATGGGAAGGAGTCTATATCCCTGAGGCTTTGGGACTAGACAGACTCTATCCACCTTTGCACCTAGCCATCATTTCACTACACAGAGTCCATGGCGAGGGTTGGTCTGAACCACAGCCCCTGTGAGGCCCCAGAATTCATGTGGGGGCCGGAGGCCCTTCAGAGCCATGTGCGGTCCTCTGGGAAGCCCAGTGCTGGAACCAAGGCCCGGGAAGCGGTGTCTGCTGCTGTTCTGGAGAGCAGACCCTTGGGAGTGAGACTTCGCGGGTGGAGAAAGCCTGATTTTCTGCGTGGAAAGTCCCAGAGGTAAACTTGGGGCGGACTGCTTTCCCCCCGAGCAACTTCAGGCACTTCTCTCACTGCCGGCAAGGGCTGCAGGGGCGGCAGAAGGGTGCTGGACACGAGCGTTCTCCCAGCGCCGCACTCAGCACCTCCCGTGCCTCGTCAGCCGGAGCCCCCCAGTGCCTCCCAGGGTGCGCACCAGCATCCCCGCTACACGGTTGAGGAAACTGAGGGAGGAGAGCTGGAGGGCCTGTCCAAGGTCGCCAGGCTGGGAGGCAGCACACATCTCAGGAGCAGCCTGCCCCTGCCTTCTAGCATCTCCGCACCTCCCCCACGCCCCGAGGGGAAGGGAGGTGGAGGAGGGCGCGCTGCTGCGAAAGCCAGGGCCGATGAGCTCTCTCAGAAACCTGGGCGGTTTCAAGATAGGACCCGGGAGAACACGCCACAGTCAGGCCCCCCTCGAGGCTGCCCCCAAGGGCCCCTGAGGGTTGAGGGTGCTCCGTTGCTGGAGTAGTCAAAAGATAGTCTCCAGCGTCCCACCCCCGCCCCTCCCCAACATTCTCGCTGCCAAATGAAATCTGGCAGCTTCTGAAAATAGCTCAGCGCTGCAGCAGGCACCGTGCCTGCCCTTCAGCAGGCTGGCACACAGCTGGGGGTGGCCACTGTGGGAAGATGCTGGCACACGCGGGGCTGGGGGCCGGTGTCACACACAGCGCGCACTGGGTGGCACCGAGCTGGGGGCACGGGCGCCGGCCGTCCCTCTGCTCTTCTGACCTTCCCATGCCTGAAGCGGCCACGGTGGCGCTGGAGCCAGCCTGGCATGTGCACCAGACTGAGGCCCCTTCCCCAGCAGGGGTGAAATCACTAGTGGGTGTGACTGGCTGCCCTTGGGCCATTTCTGCCCACTCATCAAGACAAAGAGAAACCCAGGAACCAGGGCAAATGCCAAAATGGCGTTTGTTAACAGTACTGTCCTATGTGACGTGATCTAGGGTCTCCCAGCCAGTAAAGAGGTGAGGAGCCAGGAACTGGGCTGGGAGTCAGGCACTTGTCAGACCCAAGGCAGGGGCAGAGGGGGCTGGACAAGCCTGGGCTGGTAAGGAGCAACACGCTCTGCTTGACTCAGGCCAGGAGCAGGCTTTCAAAGCGTCACTCGGCAGCCCTCCACCACCTTGGGTCCGAGATTGGAGGATAAAAAGAGACCGCAGACGAACAGGGAGCCTCCTGGCCCTGCCCCCAGCCATCCGCTCTCATAGAAGCACCCAGGAGTCCACCGGGCAGGGTGGAGAATGAGCCACTGCGGAGAGGGGCATGCCTGCCTGGGATCCGTGAGCAGGTGGGGGCAGAGAAACTATTGGTTTTTGTCACAGTGACATTTTCCAAAGTAGAAAAGCGTTAAAAATACCTCCCACCCTCAACTGAGATGAGAGGCCCCTCTGGGCCAGGGCTAGTAACAGAGGGCTGGGCCTGGGGACTGTGGAGGAGGGGCTCCAAGGGCCCTGCAGGATGGGGTTGCAGCAAGACAGGGCTGGGCCACCCAGGGAGGCGGACGGGCTGACCTGGCCGCCCCGGGGGGACCAAGGAGGCTGAGCCTGAGAGGGGCAAGCAGCGGGAGAGAGGCCGGCCTCCGGGGAAGGCAAAGGCAGACAAACCCTCAAATGCCCCTTCTCCCTCCCTTGCTCTCTCACTCGGCATTCACAGACAGCAACCTTGTCCCTGGTCACCATGGCAACCAATGGCCCGCTGCCTTTCCCAAGGCCAGGCCCATCAGCCCACACCACAGGGGGTATCTTCACAGAAGGAGGGAAGCCCAGCCATAACCACTAGTGGCCTCCAAGTGTATGGCCACACCCCGGGCAGGACAGAGCCACAGCTCTCAGGCCACTCTGGACAAAGGCACTGCAGGCTCAGCAGGCAGCCCCCAGGCACTGCCTCTCTCGAAGGCCAGAGCCTGAACTCGGGCTCTGAAGGAGGCTTGGGGTCACAGTCCCCCATCCTGAAGTTGTAACAAATTAAAACACAACAAAATAATCCTTTTGTTTTAAAAAAAAAAATGGCCCTGGGAGCTCTGGGGCAGGGCCTCGGTCCCCGCAGCCCGTCCCTGCGCCTGCACCGGCCTCTCCGGCCGCCAGCTACTGGTTGTTGCAGCCCTGCGCGGCCACAGAGCCGCCTGCCTGCTTCCTCCTCCGCTTGTTGAGGAGCCGGTTGTTGGAGGCCTTCAGGTCCTTGATCTTCACCTGGTCATAGTCCACCCGCATGGTGGCCAGGGCGCTGGTCATCTCCTCCTGGGGGCAGATGTCAGGAGGTGGGGACCTCGAGAGCCATCCCCCTCCTGCCTGGACAGCCTCTTCATAGTGTCAGTGATGGCAATGGCCACCTTTGCGGCCCAAGTTACCCATTGTGTGCCCGGCACTGGCCTGCCCGTCTGCACCACGCAACCCTCCCACAGTCCTTTGTGGTAGGCACCGCGCTGATCCGCTAAGGCACAGCAGGTGCCTTAATGGACTCCGTGGGACCATACCAGGGCAACTAGGACAGGGACCTGGAGCGGTGTCACCTACTCAGAACCACAAGGCCTGCAGGGCACACTATATGACCGGGCACACGGGGCGCTGGAGCCTGAAGATTGTGGCCTGGGAATCTGGGGGCTCTGGGCTGCTGCCCCATAGGCTCAAGCCTGGCCTCTGCTGAGTCTAAAACCAGGCTGGACACCCTCCCGAGTATGGTAGATTATAAGACAGGTTCTAGCCAAAGCTCAGGGCCAAACGCCTGTCACTGAGCCCCTGGCCCAGACCCCCTTCACTGAGGGAGTGAGCCGGGAGCACCCCCCAGGGGAGGGGCAGGGCAGCTCGAAGCTCCACACCCACGGTGGGCCCCCTGGTGTGGTCACAGGTGCCCTGGGTGCCATGCACGGGACAGGGGCCGAAACCACAGACTCTGCCTCACCACCACCCTGGAGTCCCGTGTTCCAAACCCCTGGAACCTGCAGGGAAACTGAGGCTGAGTCCACCCACCTTAACATCGTCCCAGTGATCTCTGTCCTCCTGCAGCACTCGCGCCGTGTGCAGTGGGGTCTGTGGCACCACCATGGATTGCTGCGAGGAGCCCCAACCCACGGGTTAGAGCCTGCATGCCCCTGGGACTTCACTGGCCACCCCGCACCCCTCCCTCCGGTCTCCAAAGGGGAATCCAAGGCTCAGAGAGGCGAAGGAGCCTGACTGAGCCTAAGCAAGGCAAGGCGAGGTTGCAGGTGGGGCATGACCACACATCTGCGGCCCACGCCAAGGCCTCCTGAGCCCTCACCCCGCTGCCCAGCAGCCCTGCTTGCTGCCCTGCCCGCCACAGGCCCAGGAGGCGCTCACGTTGATCCAGGGATGGTTCATGAACTGTGCGATGGTCAGCCTCTCTGTGGGGTCCGTCTTCAGCAGCAGGCGGATCAGCTGCTTGGCTGGGGGGGAGGGGCGTGGTGAGGTGGTGGAGTTCCTGGGAGCTGGCCCCACACGCCGCAGGCTCTGCGCGCCCCCAAGCTCCTAACCCACAATAACAGCGAGCGAATGACTGTTTCTCCTCATGAGCCTGTCAGTGTCTGGGGTCATTTGTCAAGCAGCAATGAGTAACTGACAGGGCAGGTTTGTTTGCTGTCCCCACGGGGAAAATACAAACGAGGCACAGCAGTGAGAGGAAGTGTTGAGGAGGCCAATTTTGAGCCTATTTGACAGATGGAGAAACTGAAGTTCAAAAATCTCCAGCGACTCGCCTAGGGCCACACAGCTGGGATGTAGGGGGCGCCAGCGCCTACACACAGGTCAGCTTGACACCAAAGTGGCATCTCCCAGAATGAAGGCTAATGGGGTCCGGGGCAGAGTGGTCACTCACCGTCCTCGGAGACGTCCGACCACTCAGGGTTGGGGAAGCCATACTGGCCAAGGCGGATCCTCCTCTTCATCCCCGGGGAGATGGCCTGGCCCGTGTTGGAGTAGAATGGCGGGAAGCCGCACAGGCTGGGGGAGGGTGGAGGTCATTCGGCATAGGAGTGGGAGCTGTGCCTCAGTGGACCCTTTCCCTCCCCCAAGGTCCCGCCTGGGGAGATAGGCGACCAGGCACCGCCTCTGCCCGCTGCCCTCTGCCCCTGCCCCCAGGCTCTTTCCAGCCCCCTGCCCTTAAATGGGGAGAGCAGCCTGCGTGAGGAGTGCCCCGCTCGGTGCTCAGCAAGGGTAGGTGGCACTGAGGTGGGGGCCGGGTGCAGGAGGTAGAGGAGGTAGTACTCACAGGATGTACATGATGACGCCCAGGGACCACATGTCACATGACTTGTCATACTTCTGTGGACCCAGGACCTCAGGAGCTACCAGAACAGAGGGCACAGGGGTTTCTCAGCACCAAGGGTCTCGGAGCCCAGGCAGGAGCCTGAAGCCTGGGCAAGGTGGGGAGCAGGCACCCAGACTCCCGGAGGGGAGGGCAGAGCAGGCTGGTGTCTGGCACCTTCTGGGAAGGCAGCATGTGTGTGAAATTGGGGGAGGAAAAGCAGCTCCCAGAAAAAAATTAACCCGCACTGAGGCTGGGCTGTGAGGACAGTCTCCCAGCTCCTCTGGACCGGGCTCTGCCTTGGTGAGCGGGGGTGGGGGCTGGGGGAGAAGGTCAGTCGGGAGCTTGGCGAGGTCCTGTCATAGGTGAAAGCGCCTCAGCCACCAGCTGTCCTGTGTCCCTTGCCCCCTGAACAAACAGGGCAAGGAAGGACTGGGGGCAGGGCTCTGGGCTCCACTGTCATCCCGGCTACCATCCCACGGGGCCTTGGTCTTCCCATGAGGGCAATGAGATAGGTAGACCAGCAGGTTAAGTTAAAATACTCAAACTACGTCCTGAGAAACAGAGTGCCGTTTCCGTGGTCCCTGGGCTTCCTGCCCCTTCAGCAGCTCCCCTGGAGGGCTCGCCTCGGGGAGAGCCCTCGGTGAAGGGAGTCAGTACCCCACTCTTGGTGGGGCACTTTCAGCAGGGACTTTTCCAGATCTGCCCATTTAGGGGAGCGAGGAACTTCTTCCAGAAGCAAGAGTGTGCGCACACCCCAGGTCCCATCCATGCCTGGGCCCAAGGGACCCTTTCCCACAAGACAGGCGGCAGGTGCCCTGTGTCCCTCTCAGGCAGGAGGAAGGGCCTGCCCACTTTCCGAATATGAATCCCCAGAAGATAAGAACCGGAGAAGGAGAAAAACAACCGCAGCTGGGCTCCGTCCAGAGCTGGTGGCAGCCTTTTATCACGTATATATTTAGAGCTGCTGTGATGTCATTCAGCTCACAGGCCACAGCCAGAATTTTCCTGGATCTATTTTCAAAAGCAGAAGCTAAAGTTTGGGAGAATATTTTTGCAGCCTCCGGACGCCCCCCACCCCCATCCCTGCCTCAGTGCAGACAGAATCCCTCTCCCTCCTCACTGGGCTTTAACCCTTTGACTTCTGCAACCCACAGGCTGCCCCACAGCTCCATAGTGTTGGGTGGGGAGGTACAAAGCATGTTCCCAGTACTCACCCACATAATAGGGGGTGTAGCAGGGTGTCTGCAGGGCATTCTGGGTGGTCTCCTTGGCAAATCCAAAGTCGGTGAGCTTGAGCACTGCATCTTTCTCCTTGGACGTGTAGAGCAGGTTTTCAGGCTGGGCCAGGGAGAGGAAACATCGGTCTGGAGTGAGGCACCAGGCGGGGGCAGTGTCCCAAGGTGACCTTCAGCAGACTTCCTCCCTCTCTCACTCTAATTGATGCAGGAGGAACCAGTCCGCCTCCTGAAAAAGACTTGGGCCGTTGTCACCAACAACATGGGACAAATATAGAAAAGACCCAGATGGCTGGAAGGTAATACCCCCTTTCACAGAGTGGAAACTGAGGCAAGTGTTTAAAGTTGTAAAGAACCAAGTGCCACAGGAAGCCCAAGGACAGGAACTTCTGAGCCTGTGCTGGTGACGCTGCCATGTGGTGCTAAGTGGTGGTTCTGGGGCAAGGCACGTTGCTCGCAAGACAGAGCTGCCAAGCACAGGTCCCGTGCCCAGACCGCAGTGAGCCTGTGGGGCAGCCCCGCCTGAGGATGCTCAGAAGGAGGTCCTGCTGTTTAGGCCCCAGGAGCTGCCCAGGGACAGTTTTTCCCAGCAGCAGAGCACAGAGGGGACGGAGGGATGAGGGCACTGGGGAGGTCTTCATGGAGGAGGAGGCCCTGAGGCAGGTTTTTAATGAATGGGTAGGAGCCAGGCCCCCGGAGAAGAGCAGAGGGGCAGGGTGTTGGCCAAAGTTCCAGTGCGGAGCAACCTTGGATCGGGATAAAAACAGGGAAGCAGGTTTTGTCTACACAAGGGAACCTCCTCCGCTGAAGGTTTTCCTCCCCTTGGGGAAAAAAGAAGCCAGGGCCCAAACAAGGCCAGGGTTCCACAGGTGAGTGTGTCGCAGCTGCACGTGTATCCAGAACCCAAGGAGAACAGTGAGGTTGGCAGGACCCAGCCAGAGGAAGGCCCTGATGTGGCAGTTGGCCCCAGAGCTCCCCTCCCCGCCAGTCCCGGGAGGAAACAATCCTTAGGAGGCCACGCTCCTGGACTGGGCAGAGGGCCCAGGAGTTGCAGATTCCACTCCAGTAGTGGCTGGTACATGCGCGATAGGCAGGGCTGCCTCAGTTTGCATTTCACTGGGCTGCTCCTGAGGACCTCTAAGACCCCGTCCTGTCCTCCCCGCAGGAAACTGAGAGAGCCGAGCTCCAGCACCTCTGTGAAGCCCACCCACAGGAAGAGTGAGCAGGCCTAACCTATCGAAGCTAGAAGCTACGGCTGGTGCTTCCCAGAAGCCCCAGCAATGTCAGGCTGCGCCTGCCTGAGGCCCAGTCCATTACTGCTCACAAAATTCCTCGCTGAGTGAACAAATGAATGAAGGAGCCCCAGTGTGGCAACTTCATGGCCTTGGGCACGACACTTAATCTCTGAGTCTGGTGTTCTCATCTGTCAAATGGACGACGGCGCCTAGCTTCACAGGCTTAGCGGAGGGTTAAACGAATGCTTGCCGGGGCCTCCTGGCTTGCCGTAGGCACGCAGCTGGGCTTACGGCTACTGGCATGACGCTATTTGAAGGAATCGCGGAGACCCATCTGGCCAGAGCAGAATGAGTCCGCTGGAATGAGGGGAGAACAGGCGGAGAAGACCAGTCCGGGCCAGGAAGCCAAGGCCCTGACGTGACAGGGGCCCATCTAGTGGGTGCGGGGAGCCGCTGGGGGTTGTGGATCACACTTCCCTCCCCGGTCCCCCAGCCCGGGCCCTGGAGCCTCACCTTGACGTCTCGGTGGGCGATGTTCTGGCTGTGCAGGAACTGGATGGCGGTACCAATATCACGCATGATCTCTGCGGCTTCTGCAGACACAGAGGAGGGGGAGTGCAGCCCGGGAGGGGCAGTTGGCGGCCAGGCAGCCTGGGGACTCCCACCCTGTTTCCCCCGGGACAGCACAAGATGGCGGCAGCACCCTTGCAACCCAGGACCCCCATCCCCTATGCCTGCCCCACTCACCCTAAGTTCCTCTGGGGGTGCCCCCGCCCACCTAGACCTCTTCCCTCGGGCCTGGGCTGCCTCTCCCCAGCTCAGCTGCTGGTTGCTACCAGGAGCTTTGGGGCCTCTTCCCAAGGCCACGGAGAGCCCATCTCCAACAAGGCGCCCCAGACCCACGGAACCCCTTGGTGGAGGGACACTCTGTCTCACCCTCTCTTGTTCAGCTGGGGAGGCTGAGGGACAGAGAGGAGCAGGGCCTTGCCCACAACACACAGCAACTCAGTGGCGGCTACCTCAGTCCAGATCCCCGCTGGTCCAGCTGCGCACGTACCTCTCTCAGTGAAAGCCTGGTCGCCACGCTCCTGAATCCTGCTGAATAGCTCACCACCTTCCATGCTGTGAGAAAACGGGACTGTAAGCAGGGAGAGGGGGGCTCGGCATCAGCTCTTCCCCTGGGGAGCAGTCCCTGACAGCTTCTCTGTGCCCGAACAGCCTGGAGCATGGTGGCCTATCCGCTTGGTGGAACTGATCTCTTAGAACTAGGCAGGGTGGTGAGGCCAGACCCCCGCCACCCAGAGAGCCCTGGTATTTCCAGTGGCACTTTCCCCACCAGGCTGAGGCTCGGGCAGCCCCACCCCCACACAAGCCTCAGTTTCCCCCAGGTGAAGGATGTCAATTATCACCCTGACCACTGTTTTCTGAGGGCCTACTATGTGCTGTGGCCTGGGCAAATGCTTTGTGCGCACTGCCGTGTGGCCCTGGGCTGGTCCCTTCACCTCTCTGCGCCTCAGCTCCCTCCACTTTTGTAGCATGGGGATGACAGCACCAGCCTCACAGAGCTATGAAGGCCGAGTCAGCAATCCACAGGGAGCACTTGGAATGGAGTCAAGGGGAGGACGAGGGCCACAGTAAGGTCTTCCTCCACATTTTACATGGGTGCTGGAGAGACTCAGAGAGGCTAACGGCTGCCTGAGGTCACACAGCTAGTGCAGGGCAGAGCCTGGATCTCAGTCCCAAATCTGATTCAAGAGCTACTAACCTGTCAGATAAAGTGGACCCCAAAGGCAGACGGAGAGATTCTGGAGGCCCAGACGGGGCCCCCAGATCTGAGGGAGGCTAGGGCTCAGCCACAGTGTTAGTGGGAGGAGCCATGGGTGGCAGAGGCCACGGCCTGGGCTGCCGGTTCTGGGCCCTGGTCACCTAGCATCTGATGGGACCATGAGTGCGCACACCCGGGAGGAAGGAGAAGGCTGAGGGGACTGAGTACATCCGCCTTCCCCGCACCTCCTCCACCACTTTCAGGCTCGGCAGCCTTCTCTGGCGGCACGTCCAGTCCCCCTCCCAGAGTGGAGATCGCCCCAGGGGGGCCATCTCCCAGCCAGGTTCCTGCCGCCCTGGGCATGGCCCCGGGCCCAGGGCAGGGCATGCAGTTGCCCCTCCGCTGCTCCTCAGGGGCTGGGGCCTCCTGGGCTGCTCTCCAGAGACAGAGCCCTGGAGGAACGGCAGGAGCCCGGGGACCATGGGGGCACTGACGAGGCGCGGGGGTGGCGTACCACTCCATGACGATGAGCAGGCAGCGCTTGCCGTGGTGCATGTTCTCATAGACGTCAAGGATGCGCACGATGTGCGGGCCGCCCGAGGCCTGCCAGTGGTGCTCCACCTCCTGCCGGGCCTTGGGACTGTCGTACAGGAGCTGCGGGCGGTGGGGCGCAGGAGGTCAGGCTCCCAGCACTTCTGAGCTAGTGCCCTTGCCCTCACTTTGCAGAGGAGGACTCGAAGCCTCAGAGACACCTGGGACCTGCCCAAGGCCACCCAGCTTATGAAGGACAAAATGAGCACTGGAATCCAGGCTTCCCTGACCTGTGGTCCAATGAGCCCCTGCGTTGACTGAAGGCCAGCCTCAAGCGGCCTGGCCGGTGGCTCAGGAAGGCCCCAGGAGGGGCTGACAGCTGGGAAGGCTTCAGAGGCCAGAGAAGCCCCTGCCTCCCTTCCTGGGCAGCAAGTGAAGAGGAAAGTGAATGGATTTTCAAGTCAAATCACACAACAGCCGTGGGACCCCAGGCCAGGGGTCACACATCCCTCAAGTCTCATTTTTACAGTGGGATGGCGCAAGGACTGAGGACCCAGAAATGGACTCTGGGGGCAGAGAGGACCCCGTTTGGGGAGGTCACACCCCGGTGGGGTGGAGTTTGGGTTTGGGGCTACATTTCTCCAGTGACTCAATGCAACCTCAGGCCAACATTCACAGTCCCAAGCCACAGCCCACACCTCTGTAAAATGGAATAATAACAGGGCCATCCCCATGGGATGCATGATGGCAAGGCAGGAAGTGGGAGGGCAGCACCAGATTCTTGCTCAGGCGGCCTCAGCCCTGGGCTCTGGCCGCCAAGCGTAGGGCCAATCACCGGAAATAAGCAAGGCCCTGCTGCGGTCCCGCTCAGAGGCGCGGGGTGAGGAGAAGGAGTCAGCCTGCAGGGGCAGGTGGCCCAGAGTGGGGAGAGGAGTGACCCGCCGTCCCCTGGCAAGGCTGCTCACCAGAGGCCCAGCCACACTTGTTTGCTAGCGGAGCAGGGCTGAGGATTCGGATCAGCCGCCTTGCTCCTCTCCCGCTGTGCCCTTCACTCCCCACCCCCTCCCCCCCCTCCAAGGTGTGCAGGGCTTGCCTTCCTTTCCCACCTTATTCCTGCTTCCTCTGGCCCCAAACACTTCTGGTTCTGGCCAGAAGGATGAACTTGCTGGTCCCAAACGGGCTGCCCCCTCCCAAGTCCATCAGTCCAGCCTGAACCTCCCTCCAGGCTAGAAGCAGCATGAGGGCGGAGGCAGGTCAGGTGAAGCTGGGGGTCCCTGGCTGGGGCCTGGCAGGAAACACCAGGCTCCTGAGCAAGGCGGTGGGAGGATGGGCTACGGTGGGACGGAGCTGGGCTCCACAGTGGGCCTGCGCCCGGTGCGGCGCGGCACTGAGGTAGAGGACGGTGGCGGTGGACGGAGGTGGAGGAAGGTGGGGCTGCCCTGAGCTGGAGCTTCTCACCGCCTCCCATCCCCACTCAGTCCATATTTAGGGACTCATTTCCCACACAAATTAAAATAGTCCTTCTCTGAGTGCCAAGGCCCTGAGAACGGGCACAGGAGCCAGGAGGGGCTGCCCCTAGAAAACACAGTAAATGCCACCACTGGCCTCTCTGCAGGCCCAGCCACCAAGGAGTCTCCGGGGCTGTCACACATGATCCCTATGGCAGACTTTGAGTGTGGTCCCAAATCTCCAAGAGCTGCAGTTTCCTCATCTTTCTTCCCCATAGCTAGAGCTTCCTTCTCTTCCAGGGACCCCCCACAATGTCACCTCCTCCCAGAAGCCCTTCCTGCCTGCCCTGTCTAAAGAGGGCCTTAAGGGTCCCTCGGTTTCTCCCCACCCTCTACTCTTCTTCCTTTACATACGTGCCTTGCTTATTGAGGTCTATTTTACATACAGGAAAATGCACAAATTTCCAGCGTCCGTCTGAATGAGTTTGACAGATGCACACACCCTGGAACCCACACCCCAAGGACACAGAAAACGCTTCCAACTCTCTGGAAAGCCCCCTCTCCCTCCGCTGCCCTCTTGGGTAGCACTGGCTCACAACCTACAATTAGCTTGTCCCTTTTGATAACCCTAATCACACACACACACAGGCTGCACTTTCAACTGCCTGGCTCTGCTCTGAGCCCTTTATAAATATTAGGAGGAAGGACCTTCATCATCCCTATTCTTTAGCTGAGAAATTGAGGCACAGAGAGAAGTCGTCACCGGTCCCAGATCACGCGGCTGTTTCCCCAGCCAGGAGGCCACCATGCTGGCTCCCTCCTCACACTGTGGCCCCGAAGGGCAGGGCCAGTCAGCCTGGTTACTTCTGGGTCCCAGTACTGGGGTACAGGGCTGGACACAGAACACTGGCTCAGATAATATTTATAGATTCAATGACCAAATCTATAAAGGGCGCATTGAGGACCATACACCTTCATAATGCGTCATGAGGACAGGGTAAGGTTAAACTGAGGAGGACACAGGAAGGTTCAACCAAGGAGAGACATGACAAGCGGGCCAAGCCTGCTCCCCACTGTACCTCCCCCACCCTCTCTGGTGAGCCAGACATTACCTCCCCTTCTCAGGGCCCGTCCTGGCTGCCCCAGCCCACAAGGGCAACGCTGCAAGTTGGCTTCTGCCATCCACGAACACGAGTCCACGCTATCCTTCACGGACGGTCTCCCAGCCAGAGCCCCAGCTCCCCAGGCACGGGGCTGAGCACAGGGCTGGGGGACAGAGGCCGAGGTTCTGCTCCTGTTCGCGGCATGACCTTGGGTCAGTCCTTTGCTCCTCCGGGCCTCTGGTTCCCCAGTGTGAAGGCACAGGGCTTGGGCTAGGTTGGAGGGAGGGTGACAACAAAGGGGACCGCTGCAAAGTGTCCTCTGTAGCCCAGTCCCACATCCCTGCCCCCATGGAGTAGCCTCTGGGTCTCCACAGACCCCGTGTCCAGGTGCTTGAACCCAAAGGGGGCCAACCGACATCTTGGTCCCCAGTCACAGCTTGGAAGAAAAGACAGGTGGCTTTCTGCCAACCCAACAGACCGCGCCCTCCTTTCACTCCCATCCTACCTCCCCTGGGCTTCCCCAGGGGTCCACCGAGCTGGAGGGTCTGCGGCAGCTCCTGGGCAGCTCCCCGGCTCCTGCGAGCACCCACCGGGAGCCCCGACACACATAAGAGGGCGGGGCCCCAGCTTCCTCCTGAGGGAGGGGCTCCCAGCTGCGCGAGGAATGGGCCCCAGTAAAGCGAGCCGAGTAGGAACGGTGAGAGGACGTTTCCTTGAACGAAGGGCCCTGCTCTAGCCTTACACTCTGATCGAGTGGACTGTCCTTTGCCAAACTCTCTTACCTGTCCCCAGAGCCTGTAGCCAAATGGCTGAGACTCCCAGCAGCCCCACCGGACCATGGACCCCAGCAAAGGTTGAGGGCAGCGGGGCCCACATCCCTCAGCATCGCCAGGTGGAACAGGGGTCTCAGAACTGGCCAGGCCTCCTCAGGACCTCCCGCAGGGCCCCCCCCCCACCCAAGGACGGCGGTTATTGTGGGTGGGGGAGTCCTTGAGTCCCCGAGCTGGGCAAACAACAGCAGTATTTGACTATCTGGAAAACAAGTGCAGTTTACTAGACACTCTCCTCCTATTTCATGGGAATGAATACTGGGTGCCACCCTATGAGGCAAGCAGGGTGGGAACCATTGGCCCCAATTTACAGACTGAGGAGAGAGGCTCAGGAGGATGAAGTCATTGCCCTGGGGTCACCGGGCTGGAGGGTGGCAGGGCTAGAAGGATCCAGACAGCCCCTCCCTGAGGGGAAATGCCAGGAGGGAGTGGCCAGAGTTGAAGAGGCACTGGCCAAAACTGCAGCTGGCAAGACTCGGGAAACTAGTTCTGAAATAAATGTGCGCACAGGTGCACGGGTGTGTGAGCAAGTAGGGGGCGTGGGGGGCGGGGCGTGCATGCAGGTGTAAGGGGGGTACTCGGGGACACGCGTGCATGCAGGTGTAAGGGGGGTGCACGGGCGTGTACGGGGTAGGGAACACGGGGCATGTGTGCGCGTATGTGGACCACGGGTACCCATGTGTGTCTCCAGCCTCTGCAATGGTGACTTTGAACCACAGAGAGGGGGGCCCTTCCATCCGTCCATTTATTCATCCAATATTTGCTACTTCTCTAGCATGCCTAACAGAGAACTGTGCACAGAGATGCACCCAAGAAAGACTGAGGGTCTTGCAACTCAACCCGTGACAGCCTTGCCCAAGCCGGTGACCAAGCGCAGACCTCTGCCCAGACCTCCCCTCACACTGAGGCCCCATCTCCACTGCGTTGCCCAGGGCTACGAAAGCATCCGCCTGCCTTCCTAGAGGACCAGCACCGGGCTGTCTGCAGCGGCTCTGGAAAGACACAGCCTTGAGACCAGCCCTCAGCAGCCTTCTCCAGCTGCCTCCCCGCCCAGAAAGGACCACCAACCAGGCCCACAAGCCCACTTCTGTACCCAGAGACCACAGCTCACTCAGGGCTGGGCTCTTCTCAGGTAAAAGTGCCCACAGTATCTCCACCTGTCTCACAGGAAGCCCCAAGGCTACCAGCCTGGACAAGCAGCTGCCCCCCGCCCCCAACGCCCACACTCCCAGCCATTCGACCAGCAGCCCAGGCACAGCCACTCTGTGGCCTCTGCCGGAACACCCACTCCTTCCGGGGGAAGAGAGCCGGGCTACAATCTCTCCCATCAGTGAGGCACTGGCAAATTAAGAACTACAAACACTGGGTTTCAGGACAACCCGCAGCCTACCACAAAGGGAACCTTCTGGAGGCCAGAGACCCAGCTCCTCTAACTGCCCCATGGGCCACCGCGAGTCCTCCTAGTTCCCCTGCGGGGCTCACGGGCAGCGGGGCTTCAGGGGTTTCTAATCCCACGGCACGACAGAAGCCAAATACAACCAAAAACCTCAGATTCTCTTTAGAATGAAAAGAAAGATAAAATGTACCAGGAACCCACATCAGTTCATAACTGTAATCAAGCACCCGTTTTCATTCCGACCTTCCCTGCCATCCTGGCAAAGAAGGAAGCCAGGCAGGCTCTGCGGCAGGGGGAGAAGCGCGCGCCCCGATTCGCCGACCCTCCTCGAGGCCCACTCTTCGGG